GGTAATTAAGTCCTACCAATCAATTTTTGAACTTACCATTGGACGCTGCTTCGAGTTTGTTGACACCGACAGTGAAGATGGGAGAATTCTGAAGTTTTTCTTCGGATCATCATCGTTGTTAGCGCAATGGAGAGATGCAATTTGCATCATTAAGGTTAGTCATTAATTATCTTTTATGCTTGTTATTGATAATTAGTGCTACCGTTACGGTTAACCGCTAATTTGGACTAGTCGCATATTTTATCTTTAGGAAAATGGAAACATTAAAATATGCATTACCATACTTTGATTTGTCATTATTATTAATGTTAATAGTGATTATAATGTTACTTATTGCTATTAATAATTAATTAATGATGACATTAATATTGTTATGGTATTCAGTTATGCACCTTGAACTGTTTCCAAATAAATTTATGTGACAATACTCCAGTTCAGAAAATAATTTTCTGGACATTAATATTTTTCGGACTTCAAATTTTATCAAGTTTTTAAAATTTTATCCGAAAACGTTTATAAATGTTAGCGGTTTTAACCATTGTTTTTTCGTATTTAGTCTCCTACTTAATGTGATAATATTATTATGGCTATTTATTGCTATTTTTGTTATTTGCAACTTTGCCATTAATAATAATAATATTATTAACTGAGTTATGGAGAGTGATTTTGAATCAATTTAGTAATTTTGGAAAAACATGTTTGCTAGGCAATTGACTATTGCCATTAATTTCATAATTCATTTAGTTTTTTGAATTATGATTGTCCATATTTGGTTAAGTATGAATAAATGAATATTTTGTTTAAATTCATATTCGTTAGTTGGTTCATACTCTTTAGATTGTTTTATGCATTCGATCACATTAAGTACATAATATTAAGTTTAATTATGTAATTAGGGTTTATGAGATTTTAATTTACAAATGCTAGCATATCCTTTTGGTTTGATATTGTTTGAAATTGTAAATTCAGTTATATCTCATGAATTTGATCTTTATGCATTAAAACATTTTATCATGGGCTTACAGTTTAAAATTTTAAAGTATGTATCCAGTACATTATTATTCAAAATGTTGGGTCTCTTTTGGTTTGGACTCATCGGTGTTTGGATATTAAGTTTATACTTTAAAATCTCATATTGTAAATTGCTTTAAGTTATGCAATTTATTTGGAATATATGAGTTTAATGTTTAATTTTATGCATATTTGTCCTAAGCATAATATTATGTTTTAAATTATGCAATTTTATTATGCCTTTAGCAATGCATAATTTTAAGATGGAATTATATTAGTTCCTATTTAAGTTGGACTTATGCATAAACTTTAGTCGCGGTAGTGCCTGAATTTAAGCACGTTTAGTCCGCTAATTTAGTTCACCATTTAAGCTTTAATCATAGGTGAACCATACAGTTTTTGGTGTATACCCTACAGTTTTAGGTTCATACCCCCAAACAGTTATACATTAAGTATATATGAATCAGGGAGACATACTAGTTTTAATGGCCATGACTTAAGAACATCTTGTGCCACTAGTCTCCTTAAATTGATACTCTATCTAAGGAATTGGTTTTCAGTGAGACTTAGTCTCTAACCGCCTTTCCTTGGAGTATATTTAGATTTTCCCATCACAATTTGGTATAATCTGTTTATCAAAATTTTAAGTATTCCTTGCCAATGTGATTTGATTTCGGATCATTAAAGAATAGCCAAAGCATCTTTAATTTACTGAAGTCTCTTAAGTTTTCAATCTTGGTTAATTAAGGAAATGCTACAGCATATTCAGCTACATAAGATTGTTAAGTTTCAATCACATAAAGTTTAGGCAAGGAATTGATAATTGTCTAGTGATCTTATAATTTTAATTTGGTTTTGGAGTAGCCACAACATCCTTAATCTGTTAAAATTATATATTAAGCGGTTTATTTTAATCACATAAAGTTTTGGACATATCGTTTGTGACTAATTGTATGTAATATGATGGAATTTAGCCCACAGGCAATTTTGTTATATTTGTATAATTAATCAGGATGAAATACTGGACTACGGTCATAATTTAGCCCACAGGCAATTATGTATCGGAATGTAGTTTAGTAGTTTTATCAGTGATGATAGAAATAATTTATTTATTTACTATATGGTTATTTGTAAATAATTTTCAATTCTATCATGAAGTTTAAATTTTATGATGTAAACTTTAGATCATATTTCTTAATTTGCCCACAGGGATTAAGAAAAGGAACATGATCTCTTAAGTTTTTTATCATAATGGTAGTAATGAATCTTATTGACTAAAACTTTAGCCTACAGGCAAGTTTTGTGTCATTTGATTCTTCAACTCATTTGATAATGGTTTCATCATAAATAAATTTTTCAGTTGGATCTAATTGAGTAAAACTTTAGCCCACAGGCAAGTTTTATGTCACTAGATTCTTCTGGCTCTTTAGTAATTGTGAAAAATATTATCATAAGGGTTTCTTAATTGGATTTAATAGAATTAAAACTTTAGCCCACAGGCAAGTTTTATGTCAATAAATCCTTCAACCCATTAGATAATAATTTTATCACAATTTCTTAGAGTTATAAATTCAGTTCAATTATAATTCTAAGCTTCATGGTTTGCATTGGCAAACATGTATTCAGTCACTTCCCAAAATTTAGTCACTTCTATTAATTAATCCACGAATCTTGCTCGGTTCTTCGGACTAACTGTAGTAAGTTACGTGATTTGACATACCTCTTGGATTCCAATAATGATAAAATGTATCTTTTGAGCCAAATTCTATCTTGGTTTTGAAAGATGTATTTTGTTTATTTTAGTATGTCCAACTATGGTGGGGAAATATATCTTCATTATTTAGTTGGACTTTAATTGGAACCAAAAATTGATTATTTAGTATGTCCAACTAATGGTGGGGAATTATGTCTTCATTTGTTAGTTGGTCAATAAATCAATTATGAGTATGTATATTATTGAGTTCATTTTATTAATTTCGCTGAAGAATATTTTAATTAGTGGGAGTGATCATTTAGAAAAAGATCATTAAGATGCTCCACTAAAGCTTATGGATTTAATTGGCTTCATACGTTTCAAATTGGATTGTATGTTACACAATAAGTCCATAAGATTCCACAAGTATTAATCTTGTATTTGTTCATATAAATTCATAAGTTCAAATTATTGAACATTTGGTTGTACAACATATTTATGAAAATGTTGTAACAATATTAAGGAATTTATTAGAACAAAAACATTTAACTTGTGGTGCACTGTCATTTAATCAATTCTTCTGTGATTAATAGAGTCTTTAGTTTCTTCAAAATTGATCTTGGGCCATTTTAGTTTGTAAGGCTCAAAACAATTTTGTGAGACATATAAGTAAGACTCATTATGTTCAGTTCATTTAAAGTGAACATTGAAGTTATTTGGGAAGTTATGGTGTATGTTTAAGATTCCAAATTTATGGACTTAGACCTTTGGTTTATTGTCTAAGTTATTGGAATGCTTCTGTGACTTGACTATCTTTTGGCTATTTTTGATGAGTGGGAGTAACAGACGTGTTAGCTCCAAGCTCTTAGCCGTTAGAGATAGTACTTAAAGTTAACTTATAAAGAAGTCATGGAATATAGTTAGCATTATGCTAACATTAAGAGATCTCTACTTAAGGCATGCTTATAAAGTTTTAGAGATCATACAGTGTACTCTTTTGTACAATTTGGATGCGTTTTCTCCTTCAGTTGTGCACATAATGTATTTTGAGAAACATCCCTTAAGGTACCGAGAATAAACGTAGGGTTTGTTCATTAAGGACCTAAGTTGGAGAATTAAAATACATGTGACCATAATGGACACTACTCTGATTAAATAGAGGACATGTCACTATGATTCGTGTATTTTGTTCTTTGGTGAAGGTTGTGCTAGTACTTGCACCAAGTGGGAGAATGTAAGATTTTCCCTAATAATATATATTATATATTATATATTAGGGCCTTAATTAAGTGGTGCAAGTTGACTAGGCTTATTAAGTGGTCTGGTTGGACTTAATAACTAGTAGTTGTTAGTCAACCAAACTCTGTGCCTAATATAACCTGGATTGATGGGATACAGGATTATGGATTAGACAGCACATTCAGTTACGGTACTCAGACCGCTCAGTAGACACCAATACACCATCTAGGGTTCTGAGTCAGGTCTGAGGCAAAACATGGCTAACGGTCTACCGTTAAGAGGCAACACAACAGGAACATCAACTATGGCTGGAGATCAACACGGCTACGCTTCCGCTATCATACGAGGTTAGGTTTCTCGTATACTATAGTTCAGTATAGTTAGATTATTGTATATCTAACAGTTTGTGTTACATGATACATCTACCTAATTCTTGAATGACATACAAGTTAGTTTAAAGTTTAGGTCAATCAATCCTGAATACGTCATGGATTATTTAGGTAAAATTTTATTCCTATTTTAAGAAGAAAAATATTATATTTTCTACTAAAAATTATAATATAACGTTCACCTCATCTTAGAAAGATTATTATTTCTGTAAGACGTAATGATTAATTCTCTCTATTCTCAAAGTCAAAGATCGAATCCTTGACGTTTGGTTAAGGTTGGATGAGTCCCTTTCACTCAATTACATCCTCCGGGGTTTTTTTTTTTTTTTTTTTTTAATTGTTATTGATTAGTGAATTGAGGAACTTTGTGAAGAGTTAAATGTTAATAAAGAATTTTGTTTGTAAATAAGAAAGAAGTATAGTGTGTAACTGTGTATAGATGATGTGGCTGAAATTGAATGCATAACTATATTTTGATTTAAAAAAGAAAAGAAAAGAAAAGAAAAGAAGAGAAAAGAATTATCTGGTTTTGGTGAGTAAAACTAAAAATGAGGGGGTGGACTGGAAATCTGGAATAGAGCTGGTTGACCGAATTTAGACACTTGTCAGAGGTCGTCTGGTGCACACACATCCGCGGCGCGAGTAAACAAACATCTCTTCTTTCTTCACTCTTTTTAGTTTTTACTTTTCTTTTTTCTCCTCCATCTCCATCTACACTAAACCAACCAACCAACCAACCAGCCAATCCAACAATTTTTTCTTCTCACTGTTCGACCTGTCAACCTTTAGCCCACAATCACATACATACAGATTCACCCACTTCCTGTTTCTTTGTGAGGGCGGCTGTTTTGAATCGGATGCTATTTTTGTGACGGACGACGGCGAATGATGGCGCGGTCTGGGTGGAATCGTGGAAGAAGATGAGAGCTGAGGAAGGGTCAGAGAGAGGGTGAATAAATAAATAAACAAAATTAAACTGCGAGAGAGAATGAGAACGTTGTGTGATGCTTGTGAGAGCGCTGCCGCCATACTCTTCTGCGCCGCCGACGAGGCTGCTCTTTGCCGTGCTTGCGATGAAAAAGTTAGTGCTTTTTTTTTTTTTTTTTTTTTTTTTTTTTTGTCTACAATTTTTTGTTTTGTTTTGCTTTGCGTGTGGTTTTCAGGAGCTTGTGTGTAATTGTGTGTCGAAGAAAATTTGGAATTTGAATTTGGTTTTGATTAGGTAGCACTCAGTGGATCTGTATGCCTTCTTCTTGTTTGTTTTATTGTGTATGTTAAGCTAACTGATTGCGATTCTTCTTGCTGGGGCTTTGGGTCGTTTGGGAATGAATTATTTAGTGGGGATTGAAATTTGAAACTACAAGAGGGCCTGCTTGCTGAGCAAATCCAATCCAACCCAAAGAAGAAGAAAGAATGCTTTTTCAACTTGTGTTTTATGGCAATGATGATGATACAATACCCTCCACTCTTGTTGTATCCAATTACATATTCCAAGTAGTCTGGGGATGGAATGAACTGAGTGCTTTTGTGGTTGTCACTTGGCTTAGCCTCACAGTCCATTATGTGAAACTTAAGATCCTATCCTGACTTGGCTTCCTATATTCATTTTGGGATTATTGAATTCCATGTGTCTTTGTATCCAACCTAGACGGCTGCACTGGTTACTATACAATATTGTTTTTTACTGAAACCTCTTGGCCTTATATTAGCCGAGTCTTGCAGGTCCATATGTGTAACAAGCTTGCCAGTAGACACGTACGAGTTGGGCTTGCTGACCCCAGCAAAGTCCAACGTTGTGATATATGCGAAAATGCACCCGGTATGCAGGTTTATCCCTCTTCATTTTTCTGTATCCTTGTTTGGCAGCATAAATATGGAAAAATATATATTTCACTATTGGACCTTTTTGTGTGTGTGTGTGTGTAGCTTTCTTTTACTGTGAGATAGATGGAAGTTCACTATGTTTGCAATGTGATATGATGGTTCATGTTGGAGGTAAAAGAACACATGGAAGATATCTCCTTATAAGACAGAGAATTGAGGTTTGTGGTTTGGTTCTAAAACAAAATCCCACTTCAATCTTGCATATGCCATATAATCATCCTTTTTCTTTGTGTGTAGTTTCCTGGGGATAAATCTGGCCAATTAGATGAGCCAGGACTACAACCTACCGAAAAAGCTGAACCAAGGCGGGAGCCAAATCACCCATTTAAGCTCATGATGAAAGAGAACAAACCAACTAACAGGGACGGTGCTGTTGCTATGCTAGACAAAAATGCTGATGTTGGTAGCAAAATGGAGAATAAACTGATTGATCTCAATACTAGACCTCATAGAATGCATGGTCAAGCTTCTGCTAACCAGGTAGTTTATCAAATGAAAAGTTCTGTCACCTTTACTGTGTAATAATGTTAATTGATCTATTCTATGGTTAATTACGTCTCAGGAACCAGGAATCGACGGGCTTAGTGATAACAACCACGAGCCAGGCTGTGTAATCCCTATTGGACCCTTGAAAAGAGAGACAGAAAAGTGATTTAGGTACACTCTCACTGCACTTGGATTTTCTTACGCTCATTCTTTATCGCCCTCAATACCTATGAGTTTATTACACCTGTTCCAGTACTCAATTTTGCATATAGTGTTTTCGTAGTATACACTGGTATGGAGTATTTAATTCTGGAAGAATTCATAAACTATAAATAAAAGAAAGGAACAAAACAATGACAAGTGATGGACATATCTTTTCCAGTTTGTTTTCTAGGGAAGGAAAGCGGGATTAGAAGGGGAAAAGAGATTGAAGGATGATAAGTGATATAGTACATGCTGCTACATTTGGATTTGAAAATGTACCAAGACATTTGGATTAGAAATCATTTTGCTGCCACCTTATTCCCGCAAATAATTGATGAATGGGTAATTCTGAATTAAAACTTATTAACAGCAACAGGTAGAAAATTTCCACAAGCTCAAGAAATCAATCAATCAATCTATCTTAACAGGGTCTTTTGATCCGATTCTTGTTGAGTTGCTGAATTAGAATTTACTCCCTTAGTTAAGATTAAGAGCTTTGCAGGTGGTGGTATTATTGCATGGTATACAGCCTTGAGATTGATTGATTGTAGTTGTACACTCTTGTCCACAGTACTATGTGCTCTACTAATTCAAAATACATGTAAATCTTTGCTTGAATGCTTTTCATTTTCTGATCATTGCCACTGTTTCAAACTCAAACACCAAATCCACAAATAAACCACCATCTTCATCCTTCAAAATCAATGCAAGTGTAACAAATCTCAAAATAGAAATTTTGCAAATGAATGTTTGAGTATACAGAAAAATGAAAAAAGAAAAAAACATGGAAAAAGGCATCTCAATTGCCTGACCCTCCGAACCTCTCTGTGTATCTTTCCAGTTTTGGATATTTAGATGCCTGTAAACAGAGAATTGAAGAGTGGGTTGGACTAAAGAAGTAAATTTGTGAGGATTCCATGATGGTTTAGGACACTAATTGTGAAATAAAGATTTTTAACGCAGTTTGGGAAAAATTCCAATCTGCGAGGCACTTCTCATATTGAGAAAAAGTCTGAATACACTATTATTATTATTTTTTTTCGGTGGAAGGGAGGGACCAAAAGGTCCCGAGAATTAGTAGAATCTTCTAAAAGCGACGTTCAACACATCCCTATCAAGAAACTCTCTAAACCCTTCAGGAGGATGATCGAGGACAGAAGTGCCCCAAGGAGATGTTTGTCCAATGTTGGCTAGAAAGTTAGCACATTGATTGCCCTCACAAAACACATGTTTCATCTCAATATCTTGAAAGTGTTTCATGAGGAACTTGCACTTGGACACTAACGTATCAGCAACCGGAGTGGACCCCATATCTTTATCGAAAACTTGAACAATGGACTCCGACTTTCGACAACAATTTTGCTAAATCCATGGTTTTTAACAAGACGCAAGCCTTCCCGAAGCCCCCAAAGCTCAGCAATGAAGTTGTTGGTGCAACGAACCTTCAAAGTGAAACCGACCAACCACCTTCCTTGGTGATCATGAATGATGCCGCCCGCACTAGCCAAGCCAAAAGACGCTTTTTTCGCACCATCCGAGTTGAGCTGGACGAAGCCCAACTGAGGTGGTGACCAGTGCACCCAGACTTGCTTCGCCACCAAAGGACCATTCTGTTTAAGGAGCAACCGTTGAGCTTCAGTGGACCATTCCGTTTAAGGAGCAACCGTTGAGCTTCAGTGTTCTCCATCTCCGCACAACCCATGATATTGCTTGCCGTCTAGCAGACATTGTTGAAGATGATGCTGTTCTGAGCTTTCAATAATTATTAATTGAGAATAAAAAGGGCACGGAATTTAGGCCAATTGAAATAGGAAATGTATATTAATAATTGACTGAAATTTAATAATTATTCCAAACTGACTCAAATGCAAAAAAGGAAATGGTCAAACCACCCAAACAATAGTATATGTAAATTGGTAAAATATTTTGTTATTAATAATTTACTGAAAATATTTTTAAAAAAAAAGCTTATGCATGGAGTTAGAAAAGAAAACCAGACGCCTCTGGGAAACAACGAGTGCGGGCAATCACAAGATGAGCCTTACGAATTGGCAAGTAGTGACCTCAGCCAAAGAGTCGGGGGGTGGGGGGTGGGGGGTGGGGTTTGTTCTTGGTATTAGAAGGCTACATGAGAATAATATTGCTTACATGGTTAAGTTGGGATGGAGCCTCACAAGAATCAGAAAGTCTATGGGCTAGAACTCTGACCACCAAATACAGACAGAAAAGTGATCCCCAATCTGCTATCACGGGATGGAGGAAGACGTCGAATGTGTGGCGAGGAATCACGGCTACTTGGACTTATCTGGAGAAAGGGCTAACTCGTGTGGTCCGCAACGGGGAGTCGACGCAGTTCTGTATGGATAAATGCCTTACGCCGCAACCGCTGAGCCTCCCTGACCTCTATGCGCCTGTTGCGGAGTACTGGGATCGAACTCGGGGGTGGAAATGGGAAAAGTTGGAACACACGCTATCGCAAGAGACCAAAGAACGGATGGCGAGTTTTATGCTGATGGAAGAAACTTTGGACGGTGAAGAAGGCTGGGGACCAGACGAGCATGGACTTTTTTGGTGAAGTCAGCGTATGATCTGATCGTGGACAATGTAGATGGCCAACGGGACAGAGAATGGCGTCACTTATGGAAGATGCACTTACCGGGAAGAATTAGCTTTTTTCTCTGGCTCGCTAAGCATTGGAGGATACTCACAAATGCTGAACGGGGGAGACGAAAACTAACAACTGATGCGTGTTGCTTTCGTTGTGCAGGTCATGTAGAAGACCTTAACCATCTATTTAGAAGATGCGCTGCTGCGCAACATATCTGGGAATTAGACCTACCTCGACGAACAACAGCCGTGTAACACCCCCAATTTTCAGCATAATTTAAAACCATTAGAGCTTACGAAATATAGGTAAAGCTATCATTAATACCCAAAGCAGAGCAGAAGCTAAACACAAGTGTTGGGGTGCTATGCCACATCTAAGCTTGAGAACCTAGATGCACAGGCTAAAACTAACTAAACAAAGCATAAACCATAATCATTATCAGAATACAAGCATGACTCACAGGTCGTCTAACTAAGCTAGGAACCGCAGCTCCTAGCCGTTCTCGGCCAACTAAACGTTACCTGAAAAATATGCGGTATCACAACCGTTAGCGAATAATGCTAAGCAACCCACTCCCACCCGTTGAGTACAATAAGTACAGATATAAAATTGTACAACCAAAAGTTCGATGAAATGAACTTATGAATTATAAGAACAAAAAACTAAATTAATACTTGTGGAAACTTTCAGACTTATTGCTAGACACGCACAATCCAATTTGGAATGTATGAAAACAATTAAATCCATCAACTTTAGTGGAGTACTTTAATGATCATTTTTCTAAATGATCACTCCCATTGATTAAGATATTTTTTACCCAAATTAATGATATAACAATCATAAATGATTTGACCAACCAAATTATGAAGATATAATTTCCCACCATTAGTTGGGCATACTAAATAATCAATATTTGGTTCCAATTATAGTCCAACTAAATGAATAATTAATGAGGACATGATTTTCCATCATAGTTGGACAGACTAAAGTAATAAAATACACCCTCCAAAACCCAATTGAAATTTGGCACAAAAGATACTATTATTGGAATCCAAAAGAGGAATATCATACCACGCAACTTACTATAGTTAGTCCAAATAACCAAGTAAGCTTCGTGAAACAATTAATAAAAGGTGGTTATCTGAATTTTGGGAAATAACTAAATACATGTTTTGCAAATGCAAACCATGAAACTTAGAATTATAATTAAACTAAATTTATAAATTCTAAGAAAATGAGATAAAATTATTATCTAATGGGTTGATGAATTTATTGACATAAAACTTGCATGTGGGCTAAAGTTCTAATTCTATTAAATTCAATTAAATACTTATGATAATATTTTATCTCAATTACTAAATAGTAAGAAGAACCTAGTGACGTAAAACTTGCATATGGGCTGAAGTTCTACTCAATTAGATCCAACTGAAATTTTACGATGAAACAATTATCAAATGAGTTGAAAAATCAAGTGACATAAAACTTGCATGTAGGCTAAAGTTTTAATTCAATTAGATTCATTACAATTATTATGACAAAAAAAAAAAAACTTAAGAGATCATGTTCCTTATCTTAATCCATGTGGGAAAATTAAAATATATGACCTAAAGTCATCATAAAATTAAGCTTCATGATAGAGATGAGAATTATTCATAAAGTAAATAAAATTCTTTATTCCTATCATCACTGATAAAATTACTAAACTACATTCCGATACATGATTGCCTGTGGGTTAAATTATGATCATAGTATTTCATCCTAATTAATCATACAAATATAACGAAATTGTTCGTGGGCTAAATTCCATCATATTACATACAATTAATCAAAATTGATATGTCTAAAACTTTATGTGATCTAACAACTCAAAATATAATTTTAACTAATTAAGGATGCTGTGGCTACTCCCCAACTAATTAAAATTATAAGATCACTAGACATTTATCATTGCCATCTTTTTGTGATTTGAACTTTAGACAATTTTTTAGTAAATCAAAGATGCTGTGACTTCTCTGTAATTAATCTAAAAATTATAATCACTTGGCAAAATGGGAATTTAAAGCCTAACAAAATGAATTAAACCAACACATGATAGACAATTGTTAGGTATACTCCCAGAAAAGTTGGTCAAGACGAAGCTCGGTTACAACTCCTTAGACAGAGTAGCGTCGCAAGGGGACTAGTAGCAACAAGACTTTTAAGCCAGGGCCACAGAACTGGTATTCCTCTCCAAGAAACTAACCTAAGTCATGTGTTCTCATGTTTGAAGTAAAATTGTTTGGGAGATCTATAAGATTATAGATTCACCTACGGATAAGACTTTAAATCAATGAACTAAATTAATGGACTAAACGTGCTTAAATTCAGGCACTACTGAAAAAAATTTTATGCATAAAGTTCAACTTAATAAGGAACTAAATCCATTCTTAAACTATGCTTTCTAAAGGCATAATAAATCGCATAATCTAAAAATAAAATATATGCTTAGAACAGATATGCATAAAATTAAATAATAAACTCATATGTTCCAAATAAATTGCATAACTGAAAACAATTTTAATATGAGCAATAACCTCAAGTATACAATTAATATTCAAAACTAGTATGACTTCTAACCAAAAGAAATTCAAAATTTGAATAATTAATATAATAGATATACACTTTGAAAGGTTAAAAACTATAAGCCCACGTGAAAATGTTTTAATTTCATAAAATTAAATTTGTGAGAAACAGACTGAATTCACAAATATCAAGTCATAGTATATGTTTTATTCGTAAATAAAAAATCTCACAAATCCTAATTGCATAATAAACTTAATGTTATGCACTTAATGTGATTAAAAGCATAAAACAATATAAAGAGTATGAAAAACACCAAATGTGTATTCAATTATTCATACTTAACTAAATGTGGCCAATAACATCTAAACTCATAATTCAAATACTAAATAAATTATAGGATGGATGTACAATAATGACAAAAGTCATTTGCCTAGAAAACATGTTTTTCCAAAATATGAATTG